TCTGCTGTGGAGTCTTGTGAGCAAAAATTCTACTTTGTGAGCTACTGGCATTAAAGCTGTGAGCAAGCAATTCGGCTACTGCGTAAGTTAGTTTGCTCTGGAGCCATCCTTTATGAGCTAAGACAATAATGTGTGAGCTAGAGGCTAAAATACTGTGAGCTAGTTCACACTAACTCAGCTTAGAGAGAACACTGGTTCCAACATAGTTTGTTAAACTATCTACTGTATCTGAAGTGTTTATACAAGCATTCAGGGGTCTTTTGGGGCTGCAGGAGTCCGCACAAATGGTGGCAGCAGCAAGCCCTGCCCCTAGCTCCCCACGCCAAAAGCGCTGTGGCTCGGGGGAGGCCAGAGAGCCCCCCCGCGGGGTCCCCCAGGCCAGCCCAGTAGTGCTGCGGCTTGGGGGACGCCCAGAGAACCCCACCACCGGCTTCCCTGGCCCCCGCTGAGGCGGTAAGTAAGGGATCTGCAGGGGTGGCAGGGGCTTGATGGGTGGTGGTGGGAGAGCCTCCCTCCCTCCCTCCCTCTCTTTGCTATCTTTCCCTCCTTTCCTTTCTCTCCCTTCCTCTTTCCTCCTTTTCTTTCTTTCTTTCTTTCTTTTTCTTTCTTTCTTTCTTTCCTCCTTTCCCTCCTTCTTCCTTTCTCTCTCTTTCTTTCCCTCCTTCTTTCCTTCTCTTTCTTTCCCTCTTTCCTTCCTTCTTTTCTTCTCTCTACTCTCTCTCTTTCCTCCTTCTGTGGCCCAACTCTAGTGAGAAGGGGTTTAAACTTTGAACCCCTTCTCTCTTCGCTCCCCCCCCAGGCCAGCTGGGGAAGGGAAGGGGAGGCTTTTGAAGATGCCTCCCCCCCCTTTGCTTCCCCTTCTGACATCACTTCCCGTGATGTCATGGGGCATGACATATGCTAATAGCCTAGTAGCTCATTAGCATACCATATGCTTATGAGCTCCTGCAGCTCTTTTTCTACGAAAAGACCCCTGCTAGCATTTATCTTGGCCATAATAATTTGTTCTCAAATTTTTGAATACCACAGATCCAAAGGAGGAGCTAAGTTGTCCTTCCACTTGGATGCGATGGCCAATTTATTTGCCACAGCAAGCAATATTACTACCAAATCTCTTTCAGCTTTCCAGAGCGAGGGATCTGTCCAAAGGTTTAACAGCATGGCATCTGGGGAGAAGGGAACTTCATATCCTGTCATTAATTTGACTTGATCAACCACATTTGTCCAGAACTTATTAAAATGAACACTACTCCACCAACAATGGAGGTAAGAACCAATACAACCACACTTCTTCCAACAGAGTGGATTGGTATAATTATCAATAGTTATGTTTTCTAGGTGTACAGTATCATCTAGTAATAGGCTTGAAAGATTGATACTTTATATTTATGATGTTAGTTGTACACATATAAGATGTCCAGATTGATTCCCGTTCTTCTGCAGTCTCTAACATTTGACAATCCTCTCGCCACTTCCTTTTCAAGTGTAGTATTTCCCCCCAGTAAATTCTATTAGATTTTTACAGATTTTGGAAATGAGGCCTTAAGAGTGCTGATTCCTTCCCTTAATAAGCATTTCAAACTCTGTAAGTTCTCGCCGAAGCGATCTGAATATAATTGGATCAGTGAAGAGACTTTTTACTTGAAGATACTGAAGCCAGTGTGTGGAAAAGCCTAATTTCTTTTTGAGAGGCTCTTTCCCCAAAAGGAGATGCTTGTCTGTCAAGTCTATTAAGCGAGTTAATCCTGCCTTTGCCCATTTTTGGTACTGACTTTGTCCTTCTCCTGAGGGGAACCAAATTTGATTTAGGTATGTGGACATTAGAGAGGTGTTGGGTGCTAGTTTCCCTCTGTGTCCGTCCCACAAATTTTAAAGCCATTTCTAAGAATTTGTTGTTTTTAATAAACGATGATCACATGTGAGGTTTGGTCCAAATCATTTCCTGAAGCGATTCCCAATGCATTTTTAAATAATAAGATTTCAATTTTTTTCTGCAAACCTAGGCTGTTTTTTAAAGATTTGTAGAAAGATCTGTCCTATCCATCCACAGCTCCAATGTCTAGATCTGGCCATATATACTAAGTTTAAATGCACCGGATTCAAATTGCTCCTGAAAAGCAACTCACACAAAGTCCATCAGGAAACTATGCCAGAGTAATTTAGAAAGTTCTGCACTGCAGTCCCCTAAGCAGTGTCACATCCTCTTAAGTGAGGGGTGCCATCCCCACAATGGGGGTGGGTTCCCTCGATTTTGGGGCCCCCAAACTACCAACAGCCACCTGGATGGTGAGGGGAGCCCCCCTGAAGAACCCTCATTACACCCTCATTACATCACGATGACATTACCCGGGGGGTTGATGTCATTGTGCTGGGCATGTTGCACAGGGGACACTCTAGCATTTGGGTTAAAACTCTATGGTGACCATAGAGTCTTTTTTGCCCAAATGCTAGAGTGTCCCCTGCACGACTGCACCTCCAAGTGACATCACTGCCGTGTGTGCATCCCGGGACTGGACAGGAGCATCCCTGCCGGCAGCCAGGTAAGACCTGGCCACCCTATCTCAAGTCCACCAAAATCAGTGGTCTTTGAAGGGTGTAACTCCGTTTAGGACTGCTCTGTTAAGATCTCACGGAAAATAATGGTTTTACTTAATTGCTCACTTAGGAATCTAGTGAGTAAGTGGGGATTCAGACTGTTTACTTCTCAGTGCTGAGTGAACTGTAAATGTAAATGTAAAGCAAGCCAGCAAACGAGGGGATGACTGTGTGTGAAATATGTAGCGCTTTGATTGAACTGTTAAGGTGCCACACTTTCCCTTGGGAGAAACAAAGGGAGGGTGCTGCTGTGTCTTACATTCCTGCAGCTGAGAAGACTGACAGATGGCCCCAAGAACGCCATTTCCCCCAAATGGGCAAGCTCAAGCAACACGGCCCATGCAAGCCCCTCCCCCCCCACAAGAGCACTCCTGCTGCAAAAAACCCCCGCAGTGCAAACAAGCAAGCCAACGGCAGCCACACCTCGCCCTTTGTCATGGCACATTCCAGTGGGCCTTTCAGGACTGCGCATTCCATCTAGTGGGCCTTTCAAGACTGCACATTCCATCAGTCAAAACTTTCCCCTGCCAAGGGCTTAACTGCAAAGCCTGCCTCCCTGGCTCCCTCTGAACGGGTCTTGATTGATGGGGAGGCAACAGCTGCAGGAGGAGGAAAATAGAGCTGCAGAAGAGAGAGGTCTGGGGCAAATATCCCAAGAGCCCCCTGGCGCTGGCAAGCCCCCTGGCGCTGATCCAACTGGCCTGGAGGTTCATCTTGCCACAGGAGTGTCCCCGGGCCCTGGCTCTACCACCTTTGCCGCCTGCGTCCTGGCCTTCGCCTGTACCCGCGGCACGACAAAGTGATTAAACCGAGCTGGTGTGTAGGGGGATCATATGGTCACCTACGGCTTGTGATAAATAATTTGCTCCCGTTCTCCTAATAATGTTCCAGCGGTTTTGACTGTATTTAACCGTTTGAACTAAAAACATGCATTTAGGCTTCTGCTTATATATTATGATTGGTCTTAATTGTATTTTAGGAGTCGTCTGTAAGCCGCCCTGAGCGGCTTATAATAATATAATATAATATAACTACATAATTATAATAATATAATCATACTCCTGTCCATCGTAAAGCATGGGCATTGGGCAATGTGCATTGCCAGCTCCAATAAAGAGCATATGAATGCACCAGAGCCAGTGCAAGGGCCCGCACAGTCCAGTATGAAACAGGTGATTTTTACGCCTGTCAGTCTGCTCTTAAAGAACACTTTGGCTGGCAGGTGGTTCACAACATGTCTTCTCTCTTAGGATAAGAAAACCTACTTATGACCAGGAAGGAACTTCCACCAATTTTCAAAGGAACCATTTCGCAGGAATGAATTTACAGCCAGAGTAGAAAGTAGAAAGGGGGTAGAAAGCCTATTACTAATGAGTGCAGACTAGCTGTTGAAACACAATGCCCTTTTTAAGGATATCCATTAACCACGAAGGCTAACTAAAAGACAATCTAACCCTAAACATCGACAAGGCAGGGGGAATTTTCGGCCAAAGTAAGGGCACAACAGAGAATCATCCTTCCACCTGACGAGCTAGCCGCTTGACAGGTCAATTCTTTAGGCCTCCTTGGTTCCATTTTGCTGGGAGGCGGCCCTGTAAGAGTTAATTTGGTGCCTCGGCAACCCATCCAGTCATGGATCCTGACCTTGGCTCTGCTGCTGGGCAGCTTCCTTCCTTCCTTCCTTCGCAGCCCCGCTCTGGAAATTACCCAAACAAGCAGAACCGAGCAGACTGCAAAGGTCACACCTGGCGTGTGGCCAGCCTGCTCTCCGGGCTCTGAAACGATACCGCCAATTGCCAGGTCCAGGGCAGCCTGTGTTTCCCCCCTCTTTTGTTCCTTTCTTCCTCCCCCAGCTGTTCCATTCATGGGTCCCAGCGCAGCAATCTGCCCTCCCCAGGAAAAGAGCCCCTTATTAAGCCGAGGGGGATGCAGAGGGCCAGCGTGGCACGTGCGGCTCCTTATCAGCACCGTCTCAAGATCCTTATTCCGGAGGGTGCTTAGGCGGTGAGGACGACAACACACACAAAAAGTAAAGCGGCCTTAAAGCCCATTGGCTCCCCTGCAGCAATTCAAACAGAAGTGCAAAGCAACAAAGACGTCTTTTCCGCTGCTGCGGTGGCAGGTGTTGGTGTCAGGTTCCGCCTGGAGCAAACAGGAGCAGAAGGGGGGTGGGGGGGTGGGATGCTTTCCTGTGAAGTTTAGACATGCAAAGGCAAAGAGGTGCCAGCAGCTTTTTAGAGCTCGCAAGGCAGGCATAGCGAGGGGCCACTTCTGTCGGTGCAGCACCAGGCCCCAGAGGAAGAGAGCAGCCCGGATAAGCGAGCGCCGTTCCAGCGGTCATGCAAGTGACAGGAGGGGTATGGTTAGTAAATGCAGCACGGCATGCCGTGTGAACAGCCTCTTACCTTTCTCAATTACTGTAATGAGACCTTTACATACTTTAATCTAAAGAGAAAGAACACAAAATCATGTAAATGTGGGGAACCACGCACCTGCTGCTCTAATGACAGCCTTGTACACATTGCTTACACAGAGTTATTATACCGGGGGTGGGTGGGGAGAGGATACACACACACAAGTTGCGCGAGTTAATGTGAAACGATACCTCCAGTGCCTATCATTTGGTAATAGAACTAATGAACGTCAGCACCATTACCAAGTGAGATGTCGGCGGCCAATTACTCCCCCCCTCCCCACAGAGACACACATGGCCGGCTGAAAAACAAGAAGCGGAAAACCAAGATGGGGGGGGGGAGTTCTCTTCCTCGCGACCCATGTACAGTATGGCCTGCAAATCCCCATAAGTACTACTGCAAAAATTACATCACACCGAGAAACTCCGCCCTTCCCTCTTAACTTCATGGCCTCCATCCACACAATGATCTTCAACTGTGTGGTCTATGTTTTTTTATAAACTGAGAATGACACACACAACAAAGGTTTTAATGATATTTTGGTAGGCTCCTTCAAGAGCCTTCCGGCTAAGAGCACGGCCTAGAAATAATTTAAATAAAGAAACCACACACCAAATACATTAGATTTACACCCTGTTCTTACACAAGAGCTCCCAGCGGTCTCCCCCAATGATTGCAGAAAACAGTTAAGTAAAACTACAGTGGCCTGAGGTCACACACCAGGGAGGACTGGCCTTTTAACCTTGGCCACTTGCAGTAGAGTTCCCAACCTCCAGGTGGGGGCTGGAGACCTTACAGAATCACAGCTCATCTCCAGGCGACATGGGCCGCATATTTATTTACTTAAAACATTTATTCCAGTTCTCCTGGAGGAAACAGCTGCTTTAGGCGTAATCTTCGTGGGGGCGGCGGGGCTTCAGCCCCCGCCGAAATTTTCAGGAAGGTGCTCAGCCTCCCCCGGGAGCCACCCTTGCTCCTAGCAAAGCAATGCCTCTGGCCCAGCCCCAGCCCCCCCCCCGGGAAATTGGAAAGTCTACACCTTTCCACCCTAAACCTCACCCTCCCAGGCTCCGCCCTCAAATCACCAGATTGGCAGGGGCGGCTCGAGGTGTTTCTGCGCACTAGGCGAGGCTGCCTTGTGGCACAGATGCCAACCTCCCGGTGGGGCCTGCAGACTTGGTGACCTCTGGAGTCAGCCACCCTTTTGCTGCCGCCACCACTGCCTCTCCCCCCGCCCCCGCCGCCACCAAAGGGGGGGAGGAGAGGGGGAGGCACAGCTTGGTGCCCCATCCAGGGCCCGGCGCTCTAGGCGAATGCCTAGTTCGCCTAGTGGGTGAGCCGGCCCTGCAGATTGGTTCCGAACCTGGAGTTGGTACCCCTACGGGACCTGCAGCAATGACTGTAGGGGAAATAACACATGGGATTTTAGGTCTTCACTTGGGTGCAGTTTCAGAAAGACGGCAAAAAAAGTCCTGAATGTTCCTACCAACACTCCCCTCTAAGCCGCGGAGTCTTGTGAGCAAAAATTCTTCTCGATGAACTGCTGGCATTAAAGTTGTGAGCGAGCGATTTGGTTACTGTGTACATTAATTTGCTCTGGAGCCATCCTTCCGGAGCTAAGACCAAAAAAAGTGTGAGCCAGAGGCTAAAATACTGTGAGCTAGCTCACACTAACTCAGCTTAGAGGGAGCAGTGGCCTACATACACAGGTACTACGTCGGGGCAGCTGTGATTTAGTCACCCATTTAGTGCCTTTAAAGATAAAAAAATGTTGGTGAGATGCTGGTTAAGTGGCAGATTCTGGTTGACATGACTGTATTCAGGATCCCCATTAATGCAGCAAACAAACAAAGGGACAAAGCAATCACGTTGGTGAGTCGTAAGATGCAGAGGTCCCAAAAAAGTCATATATCGCTTTTGTTCTGGATATCGATTCCCAGGCGATAAAACCCTTTTGTTCGCCAAACAGAAGAGAGACGCAACTGCCCGGCCGCAGATGACGGCCATTTTTTCCTCTTAAAACAGATCAATGCGTAAAAATGCATAAGACAGCCCATAATTGTTTTTGTAACCTTTCTTTTGATATATGTTACATAACTGGAAGCAGTATTAAAAAATCTTCAGGTGGGTCGCCGTGTTGGTCTGAAGCAACAGAACAAAGACTGAATCCAGTGGCACCTTTAAGACTGCTTTTAACCTAAGGAACATTTTATTGGGAACATTTGGCTGTACAATCTCAGAAGAATATAGTTGACCAGAGAGAAGTACTACTGGACATGTGATTGCACTGGAGGCTTCATTTGTATTTTTGTATTTCTTTTCTTTGCCCAGTGGTTAAACTTTGGAACAATTGGTTTCTGGTCTTTATTCCATATATGTATGATTGTATGTATTTTTGCATATCAGCCAAAATGTTCTGTCTGTATTAGACCTCTGAGGAAGGCCTGCAAAGGCCAAAACGCGTTAGGTCTATCTTATTAGCCCTTGTATGTTTTTATATTTGTATATGAGGTAGGAATGGGCCCTTGTTTGTTATTTTAATTTATGTTGAATAAATACATGTCTATTTTTGTATGTTTCATAATTAGATTTTTAGAGTTGGCCCTCTTCTATTCTTGACTAACCTTTTTAGGTTCTGGCCTTTAAGACCAACAGAGTTTAATTCTGGGCATAAGCTTTCGTTTGCATGCACACTTCAGTGTGCATGCAAACAAAAGCTTATACGCAGAATTAAACTCTGTTGGTCTTAAAGGTGCCACTGGAGTCAAATTTTGTTTCAAAAAAATCTTGTTTGTGCCAGAAAGGAAACAAAAACCCACACAATTATCCTTGAAAGGGTGTGTGTGTGCAGCTAATATTATACTTGTAGCCATGTCTTTTCATTTTCCCATCCTCTGCCCTTCCGTTTGTACCCATATATTTTTATTTATTTATTTTTTTTTTCACATTTGTCTCCCGCCCTCCCCAGTGGGCTCAGGGCGGCTAACAGAGGCAAGGTCATTAGCCTTGCCATAGATAAGGTAAAGGTAAAGGTTCCCTTGCTCGAAAGCCAGTCGAATCCGACTCTAGGGTTGCGGTGCTCCTCTCCGTTTCAAAGCCGAAGAGCCAGCGTTGTCCGAAGACGTTTCCATGGTCATGTGGCCGGCATGACTAAACACCAAGGCGCACGGAACGCTGTTACCTTCCCACCGAAGGGGTACCTATTTATCTACTTGCAATTTCTTGCTTTCGAACTGCTAGGTTGGCAGGAGCTGGAACTAGAGACAGGAGCTCACCCCATCTTGCGGCACCCGGGTCTTGAACTGCTGAACTACTGACCTTCCACAGCCTGCAGTACAGCGTCTTAACCACTTGAGCCACCGCAGCTCCACTTGCCATAGATAAAAACATATAAAACATAATAAAAACATCCAACACTAAAACCACAGTACTCTATCCAATTACTAGTATCCTAGATCCAAGGTGGTATCACCGCAGTTCCAGATGGTGCTCCCATGGTGTGTCTGTCTAGTGGCGACGGCTTATCAGATCTTCTGTAATTTCTAGGTTCTTCCTCAGGCCTCATTGATGCATCCATTAAGATGTCTTGACAGTGATGGTATAGTAGGGCGGTGGCTCCTACTCAAAAGCCTGGCGGAAGAGATCTGTTTTGCAGGCCCTGCGGAACTGCTCAAGGTCCCGCAGGGCCCGGATCTTCCCTGGGAGCTCGTTCCACCAGGTAGGAGCCGCCACTGAAAAAGCCCTGGCCCTGGTCACAGCTAGTTTGGTATCCTTGGGGCCCGGGATGACCAATAAGTTTTGGGCCCCTGACCATAGTGCTCTTGGGGGAACATATGGGGCAAGGCGGTCCCTCAAGTAGGCTGGGCCCTGGCCATATAGGGCTTTATAGGTAATAACCAGCACTTTGAAGCGGATCCGGTACGCTATCGTTTGTACCCATATATGTGTCGCTTCAGGAATAAGACAAAGCGGGTGCTGGTCCAAAAAGCTTACGGCCATGATAACTTGGTTATTAAGGTACCACAAGACACTTGGCTACCCTTCTGTGGCCCTTTGGCTTAGTTTTCCGATGAGGAATATTCCCTCCTCTTCTGTGCCGCTGCTGCTTAATCCTTTAGAGAAGTCACAATTCTGTTGGTATCAGTCTGTTGCCATAGAAATGAAGGCGATCATACACATCCACCTTTAAGGGCCCAGAAGAGAGATGGCTAAGAAGGGATAAGTGTGAGTGTTGTGTGTGTGATGCCATCTGGTTTAATGGTCCTATAGAATCCATTCAAATGGGGGGGGGGAATAGGTTTGTTTTCCAGCTGTTCTGGTGAAAATATATCCTTCGGTATAACTCTCATACACTACCTGGAGAGACTGGTTATGTGTTTGCAGAAGACTTGTGTGCCAGCAACTGACACAGGCTACTGTGAAGAAGAGGAAGAAGAAGAAGAAGAAGAAGAAGAAGAAGAAGAGATTGGATTTATATCCCACCCTTCACTTGGAGTCTCACAGCAGCTTACAAACTCCTTTCCCTTCCCCTCCCCACAACAGACACCCTGTGAGGTGGGTGGGGCTGAGAGAACTCTGACAGAAACTGCTCTTTCAGGAACAGCTGTGCCAGAGCTTGTGACTGACCCAGGGTCACATCAGCATGTGCAAGTGGAGGAGTGGGGAATCAAACCCGGTTCTCCCAGATTAGAGTCCGCGCACTTAACCACTACACCAAACTGGCTCTCAAACTGTAAGAAGAGGAGGAGGAGGAGGAGATTGGTTTACAAACTCCTTTCCTTTCCCCTCCCCACAACAGACACCCTGTGAGGTAGGCGGGGCTGAGAGAGCTCTTTCGAGGACTGCTCTTGAGAGAACAGCTCTGACAGAACTGTGGCTTGCCCAAGGTCATCCAGCAGCTGTGAGTGGAGTAGTGGGGAATCAAACCCAGTTCTCCCAGATTAGAGTCCACGGACTTAACCACTACACCAAACTGGCTTTGTTGAAAAGCTGAGGTAGCCTTCATTTGGGAGGGTTTGCTTTAGTAAGGCA